TAAAACTTTCAATATTAACTGTTCCATTTTAAGAACTTGTTTTTTTGTGTAAGTATCATCAGTTATATAAACAAATTCAGAAACATCTGGTGGGTAAATTTCTTCATATTTCCTAAATTAATAGTAAGTTTACATTAAAAAAAATAACTATTTAGAAAATATTTGAAATTTATAATATTTATATATAATAGAAAAATATAAACATACGATGCAACAAACATAGCAGCAGTGCCCAATAACTGAAGTTTTGCTCGGACCACAGACATTAAACTTAGAAAACGATCAATAAACGAGATGGCCAAGTATAGAGTTTCGTTTTGCAACTTATATTCTTGTGCTACTTCGACCAACCAATCAACTAATATAGCTCTCATACTGTATGTAACATCTGGTTGCCTTCTCATGTATCCAGGCTTAGGACGATGTAATTTCTATAAAACAAAAATAATTTTAATTGTTATTAATATTTTAATAAATTTAAATTAAATACCTCAACATCTCTAAGATAGGAGTACAACTCGCTCGTGTAAGTGTCTATGTCAGAACTCAACCGGTTTGCAGTTAATGAAAGGCTTGTACTTTGAATAGACTTATCGTGATCAACTGACATAGGTGAATACGAACAGCTTGAATCGATAAGTTTGATATCAGCTTGTTCATCAGTTTCTTCAACAAGATCTTTTACACTGGGTTTAACAATTTGACCAACATCAGACAAAGGTTTTCTTTCTTTTAATTCTACCTTGGGTACAGTAACCTATTGAACAAGAATTGATTTAATAAAGTTTAAACTTAAACACTAGATAATAAATGTATTCTACAAAATCATAATAGTGAATAAATACCTTTGATTCGTTGATCTTATTGTGTCCGTTCTTAGAACGTAGTACTCTCTGGTTTTCCACATTATTTGCATTAGAATGTTTAACAGCAGCCTGGTCATCTTCGTGAATGGTAAATGGTACAGTAGATTTAGTTGGAAATCCAAATTTATTAGTTCCTTGAGTCTAAAAATAAGATATTAAAACTGTCACATTTTTTTGTTTATTTTAATTAGGTAGATAAGTTAATATTTGGTAAAAATATCCACTAGGCTGAATCATATTTATATAATTACTAGGTACTTCTATAAATATAAATCATACCCCAGTAATCAACAAATCTTATCGAACTGTATCTACATGGGTGTCCCACGAATATTTGACAAACGCAATACATTTATTCTTGTTGATATATTTTTTTTTTATAATATTATAACAATTAAAGGCTTGCAATATAATTCTTATATTTTAGATATATTTTGTTTATCTTTAGTAAAACTAAAAATTAAAAAAAAAAAAAAAAAAAAAGAGCTAAAAGAGATATACAAATTTATTTAATTTATATTTGTAAGCAACGATTAACCATTGGTAACGAATAATTATTCTGGGCGAAATTTATTTATACATGATTTTCAAACATTTAACTATATCCACATAGTACCTACACTTCGACCTGTATCAAATAAAAACTACATAAAAACTCGCAAACATAAAATGCCTAAAAATAGGTCAAATTTGATAGATTTAAAAATGTTACGAACTCCATAAAAGATAAATATAATTTTTCTGTCGAAATATCAAAACCACGAATATTTTTAATCAAACTACACGAAAAAAAAAAAAATTGAAAATAATTTTCCGTTCTTTCTACTTTTTTTCCCCGATTTGGTCAATTATGAAGAAAACCATACGGAAAATCAAAAAACAACTACCTTACTCATCAACTTAAGTTAAAAATGCACCAAAAAAGTCTCATATCATTTTTCTGGCAAGTTTTTTGGTCGAAAAGTTGTTTACAGGCAGAACAATTTTTTTTTTTTTTTAAACACATAATAAAACCAATCGATATTGTTTCGAATCTGAAATTTAAATTTTTTAAAAAATCGTTTTTACAACATCTAAGATACCTAACTATTTTAAAACGAAATGTTGGTGTTACAAATATTTAATAATGATGAAATCGTTAAGTTTCTGCAATTTATTGAAGTTTACAAAAGTTTTCATTGTACATTAAAAATATAGGAATGCGAAAAGTCGAACGCAATTCCGTTTTGGAAGTTTCGGTGGGAAATTTCGAAAAGTTCGGTTTTTCCGTTACGCGTAATTTCTCGTTGGAATTTACTTTTTTCGAAAAAAAAAAAAAAATTGTCCCGGTTTTCACAATACTTACTCATTGGCCCAATCAAAACTAACCCATCATCGGAGCCTATACATACTTTTATAGTTTTTGTACAGCCAATTTTGAAAGCCAATAAAAACGAAAACAAACTCGGATTTTTTTTTTTTTTTTTATGCGTTAATAAACCACGTCGAGAAGTAATTCGGGGATACGAAACATTCTGAACGCCAAACCGGATCTTGGGTTGCCACCGTGGGATCGCTTCGCAAGTTCATGTCGGACCTGTAGGACTTTAGTAACAACGAAAAGGTCGAAAATAAACTCGTCGTTTGTGCAAAATCACGTCGGGCGAGCAACAGAATAATGAAAAAAAATAACGCGTTGAATCGGCGTTGAAACGTACTGAATTCAATTATTAACGGCCAGTTTATCAACGTTGGCGAATGAAAACTATAAACGCGTGGTATATACCAGCGATTGATACGTTTTTTTGATTGGATCAACGGGTCAACCGCCCACACATTTGAAAAAAAAAAAACATTAAATTCCAGCCGGGATTCTTACAACGAAATACGCGTAACGGGCAAACCCAACCGTAAGTCCTTCACCCCCCCCCCCTCTCCCCGTGTAACTTCCAAATGGAGTCCGACGGACTTTTTGTTCGGATTTTCAAAGCACCTGCGTGCAGAAAAAAAAAAAAATCGGTCAATAATTAAACTACAACGACTATCACGCTCGGCTATCGAATTTGGAAACATTGAAAGCGCCGCGACAAACTGCCAATCGATTTAAAATAATGAAAATTTGAAAATAAATATCTCGCGTCTGAAATAATGTCACGTTGACGCCGGCCGTTTCTTAACAAAAATTGTCAAATCTCCAGCGATTTTCGGGCTGAACACGAAATGAAAAATTACGAACTCCCGCGAGATGAAACCGGGGAAAATCGAACGGCCGTGTTTGAAAACGTTTGAACATTCAACGCATTTGCACAATAACTGTAGGTGTCGTTTTGTTAAATGCTAGCCCGGCAAAATAATACGTTTTACCGTTACAAAAATCACCGAAACACGACATTACAGCGTTTTGGATTTTTTTCCGTTCGGCCAAAACCGGGGGTGGGCGATAGGCGGCCCGCGGAGGGGAAACGAACGGATCGTCAAAAAACGTTTTTTACCTGAGCGCTGTTTTTTTTTTTTTTTTTTTTCTCCCCTCGTTTAAATTCTAAAACACTGCTGAAAAACTATACGGCCGTCGGAATTGGTTT